ACAAGCAGAACCTGGCCCGATGTGATCCTTTTCAACGATGTCCGACAGTTTGGCGAGCGCCAAATGATGGAATGGCATGATAGTTTTCCGGACCTTGAGGAAATTCACATTTGGGCTGGGTTTCCCTGCAATGATTTGTCACGGGCAAAAGCAGAACGCTTGAATTTGCAAGGCAGGCAGTCAGGCTTGTTCTATGAGCTCATGCGGGTGTGGCGAGAAGCCAAGCAATGTTTCCCAGCCCTGTCTATTCGGTTTGTTTTTGAGAATGTTGCTTCCATGGACCCTGAGGCCAGAGATCAGATTTCGGACGAAGTGGGTGCAGTTCCGTATCGTTTTGACCCCTCCCATCAGGTGCCCATGTGTCGGCCGCGCTTTGCTTGGACAAACGCAGCGCTGGAGGGGGGCCCTCACCTTTTCCTGAATCCCAAACGTGTTTATGTCGATGTGGTTGTGACGGATGACTGGCCTGACGACACTGCGTGGGTAGAACCAGGATGGGTAAGAGCTTCGCCACACCAAGCGCTGCCCACATTCATGCGCTGTGTCAGGAAGTCGCAATCGCCCCACATGCCTGCCGGAATCAATCGCTGTGCGCCTGAAACGTTGGAACTTTGGGCCAGGGAATCGTACAAGTATCCTCCGTACCAATTCAAGCCTCAATATCTTTTTCACCAATCGGACAGACAAAGAGTTGCACATGCGTCCGAGCGAGAGCTGTTGATGGGCTTTGGCTTTGAACACACAGCTTTGTGCATGAACGCGTCTTCTGCTAAGCGAAGCCCCGCTACTTTTGAGGACGAGCGTTGTGCGCTTATTGGTGACGGGTTTGCCATTTCCAGCTTTATGCTCCTTGCGGCTGCCTTGACCCGAAAGTGGATCGGCTACCCTTCCCCCACCCACCTCAAAAACCGTTTGGGTTTGGCTCCTGGGGCAGTTTGCGGGATTCATCGGGTAGCTCCTATTCAACGTGCTCTGTGCTACGGTTCAAGCCTGGATGAGATACAGCATCAAGGTGCCTCTTGTGTTCCCCTTGCTCTTCATTTGGCACGAAAGGTGACCCACAATGGTTCTGATATCAGGGTTGCCAGCGGTCACGTTTTCAACCCAAAGCAATATCCTAGACAGTCTTTGCGCGCTGCCTGGTTGAACTGGCAGATGCAGTTTTCCTCCCGCTGGCAGGTGCAGGAACACATCAACTGTTTAGAAGCAAGGGCAATTTTACAAACAGCACTTTGGAGAGTGAGGGCTCACAAAATCATGAACTTGCGATGGGTACACATTAGCGACTCATATGTTGCCGTTTCCGTGCTGAGTAAGGGGCGAACTTCAAGCAAAGCCCTCAATTTCATTGTCAGAAAGCTAGGTGCAGTTTTGCTAGCCACCCAGTCGCAATTTCTTTGTGGACATGTAGACTCAGCAGAAAATCCAACCGACGCAGCAAGCCGTCAATGAAACCAACTAGGGCTCAAAGACGTGCAAGGCGGAAGGGAAAGGTTCTCTCTGACCTTGCTGTCTCCCGGACTACGTTGGTTCGTTATTTTGTTGCTTGCAGGCATGCGCTGCCCTTTTTAGAGCGAGCGTCACACAATGTAGACGAATCCGTGGCCACCATTGTGGAAGACATGTGGGCAGACGGGGCCAGTTTGGGCCAAGTAGGTGACCTTCTTTCAGGACTATCCCATTTCGCAACCTGGTGTCGCAAACGTTTGCCTCAATCCTGGCGCTTGTTTAGTGTTTGGAAGAAACAAGAAAAGCCAAAACGAGCTCCACCTTTGCTGCCAGAAATGGCGGATGCAATGGCTGAGAGAGCGCTTGAGTTGTCAAAGCTGGCACTTGCCGCGCTTTGTCTCTTGGGTTTTTACGGGCTTCTTCGCACAGGCGAACTTTTGCTGTTACGGGCGCAGGACATCCTTGCTCGCGAGGGCGAACTTGTCTTATTTTTGGGTGAAACCAAAACCGGCCAACGTTTGCATGTCGATGAAACGGTTGTTGTGCGGCACCCACCTACAGTTGCAGTGTGCCGGACTCTGCTGGATATACACCACGCTCGCGATTCCCACCAATTCCCCCTTTGGCAGGGTAGTGCCCAGTCTTTCCGCCACGAGTTCTATTCTTTGCTCCGTTTCTTCCAGTTGCATCACCTCCCTTACAGACCGTACAGTTTACGCAGGGGTGGCGCAACCCACGAATTTCGCCAACACGGGCTCATGGAAAAGGTTCTGATCAAGGGGCGCTGGTCGTCCAACGTGTCAGCGCGTACGTATATTTCAGAGGGCTTGGCAGCATGGGCGCATTTGCGCATTCCGCCTTCAAGCAGTAGCCTGATCTCCCGCTATGCTGCAAAGTTGAACAACTTGCTTCTTGCTTTCGTACTTGGCCTCATTGCCCAAGTCCAGGCCAAGGTTCTTTACCTTGCGGGAACGTGGTAGGTTGTTGTTTGGTTCTTTGGTTCTTGGTCCCTTCCTTGTTTTTAGAAACGCGCTTCCTGCGAGATAGGAAGTCGTATGTCAGCCCAACGGGCTCTCCCTGCGAATTAGGGAGATGAGAGATCACAAGTACAGGTGAGAAGATGCCTCTCATGAGGCTGCAGCTCTTTCAGAAGAGCAATTTGGTGGGTATGCATGCTGCTACGCCGCATGCATCCAAACACCCACGAATGCTGGCCATGAAAAAAGGGCGGCAAGGAACAGCTGAGCACAATTATTAAGTTGAATTTAAAAAAGATATTATTTTAACCTCCAACCTAAAATAAGTTCAAACCCCCAAACCAATTAGGCTACGACGACCTCCATCTAGATTTGTTTCTGATCCCTAAGTAATATTAGTCTCTCAGCCTTTCTGAATTTTGCGATATCCCGGCTCCTCAGCGAAAGGCCTGCAAGCCTCATAGTCGGCAGTTACCGTCTTCAGGTACTGCCGTCGCTCCTCCTATGGCATAGGATATTCATCAATGGAGTAGCGGGGGAGGGGCAAAAAAAGGATCGAACAGCCCACAAAATTTACCCGCCCACCAATGAACATGGAACCTAACAGGGGGGCCCTGTAAAAAGAAAAATGATCTTCCACACTCCCTGTCAGGTTCCATGTTAATTGGTTGGAGGGTAGATCAGTTGCCTGCTTGAACCGTTTCTCAAATGGAACTTATGCTGCTTGCACGCAAGCTTGATGACCCTTCCAATGGTTACCAAGCGTTGGGTTCAGGGCACAAGGGGCAGGTCGTCGCAAAGTGATGTGTCTTCTTCAGACACGGCCCCGCGGAAGGTTCTTATGGGGCGTCCAAAATGAGCACTGCCAACCTGCAACAGATTCTATGTGGCTTTCAGGAACCACGAGGCTTAATCTTTCGCAGCATGTCTCTGGCAAAGCACAGAGTTTAGATGTTTCCGAATACTGGCCTGGCACAAATGCCTGTTGCAGAAACAGAGTGCATGTTGAAAGAAACTGGAGGAAACCCGTACACTATGGTTCAGCGATTTCAGCCGCCACTTGATAAGACGCCCTCATTCCAGCGCATTCATGGTTGATGCGTGCACGATGGCAACATGATAAGAGCACACGTTCCAGCATTCATGGGCCGGCTTACATTGAGGCGGGTTGGCGGCTGCCCCAGCCAGCCCCCCCCCCCCCAACCTCTGTCTTGAGCTCATTCCAGTCAGACCTTGGCCCAAAGCGGCAACAGGTCATGTGGGTCGTGCTGTCAATGAGAACTTATGAAACCCTGTTCAACGGGTATATGACCATCCCGAGCCCCGCACATTCAAACTTCAATCTGAGCCCCGCACATCCAAATGATGCACGGCCGGTAGCCCATGGTCTGGGCATGCCGAACCTTCTGCACCTCACGTCTTGGCGCAAAAGCGACGCTGTCCTCTGGCAGGCCAGCACCCATCGGCAAAGGATCCATGAGACTCATCTGCTCCGTGCGAACGCACAAGAAGCTTCGTCTTGGAGCGCGGCAGCACCTTTGAACATGTAGTGGAACCTTGGCATCTACGAAGTCACGGGCGCGGATTCGTGCAGGGGGGCTAAGGATGGATTGAATCTCAGAATTAGAGCGTAGGCTCCAGATGAACATCCAATGGCAGAGCAGACAAGAATGTAGGGGAGCCTAATGCCGTTACCTGTTGCACAGAACAAAGCTCAAGACAAATGGCACGAAGAACTCCTGACACATCCCTCGTCTCAGGCAGCTGCTGCCAGCAGCGATTCTGCTTCTCCAGCTCCTACGTGGGTTTCGGGATCCCCAGTGTAAGCTTTTCCACAAGGTGCGTCTTGGAGGGTACAGGTTTCGGCGTGTTTCAAAGGCAAACCGAAAGGAAGCCACTCATTTTTGGGGATTCTTTTATTGTGAGAGAACATCAGCAATGTTCAGCAATCCTCAGGTCTATCTGAGACAGTGTTTGATTGTCATAATGTTCATTTCACATCTGCGCAAGACCTCTCAAGGTTAATAAGCAGAAGTTCCCATTTGGTGGGAGATGAATGATCCATTCAAGAGAGCCCTTTATGATACTGGAGATGTCGAATGGAAGTTGGAGAGGCGGTTCGGGCGCATAGACACTCATCCCACCCAGGTGACACTTCTGACGTCATCAGCACCGAGGCTTAGCTTGTATGACCATGGCTAAGCCTGCAAAAGCATTGGGGGAAAACGGGAAGGACAAAGTTTTCTACCCAGCCGTCCCAAACAAAAAGTCGGGTCTGATCTGAGAACCCAAAACTGAGTGAGGCGTCAAAGTCGGAGACCTGATGATGGGCATGTGCTTCCTGCTTTTGCCACCTGCAAAAGAAGCTCAAACCAAAAGCGCCACCTATCCGGCGGTCGTTCTGGCCTTTGTGCCTGGTCAAGTACCAGGCGACTGCAGACCTAAAATAGATCTGCATAGTCAGCGGAAAGAGTGGAAGGGAAGTCTATTGCTTCGTTGCGCATTGGCATGCCGTCCACCCTTTGCAAAATCACGGAGCTTTCCACAAAACTGGATTTTTGCTGCCGAACGAATTCATGCACCGACAAGGCCAGCTGCCTGAACACAGGCCGGCTTCAGACCCGCGGTCGGATGCGGTGCGCCCAGCAGCGCCGGCAGCCTCGCCTTCGCCTTCGCGTCCTCCACGGCCTGGAGCGTGAGCTGCACGGCGCGCGGCACGCCCCCGGCCCGCAGCGCCTTGGCGAAGCAGCCGCTGCGCTCCGCGAAGGGCGGCTCCGCGGCCACGCGAAGCAGCGCCTGCCGCACGTCCGCGCGGTAACCGGCGATGGCGGCCGCTTCCTCAGCGTCGCCCTCCGGCGTGGGCCGCGGCACCTGCAAGCCGACGCCCAGCTCGACCGCCTTCTCGGCATTCACGGGCTGATCTCCAAAGCCTGGGCAAACCACCACGGGCACTCCTGCAGACAGGGACTCGGTGAAGCTGTTCTGGCCGCCGTGCGTGAGGAAGAGGTCGACCCCAGCCTGGAGAAGATCCACTTGGGGCACCGAAGCTCTGCACAGGGCGTTGGACGGCACATCCAGGCCCTCCAGGGCATCGGGCTGCGGGCCCACAGAAACCACGAGCAGAGCTTCCGAGTCTCCAAAGGCGTCAAAGACGCCACTCCAAGCTGCTTGGCAAAGCTGCTTGCCAGTGAGGCCCTTGCGCTGGCCGCTGTTGTTCTGGAGCTTAACATCCCAGCCGAAATCCAAGCTGTCGCCCGTGATCACGGTACCCATGCTGGCGAAGATCACCCGACGCCCTGCTGCCTTGGCAGCCTTCACCGACTCCAGCAATTCCGATGCCTCCGACTGTTGTTGGCTATCTGTGGACTTCCTCACTTGCCCAAAGAACCTAAAAAAATGTGGTTCACCTTTTGGGACCTGTATTAAAATAAGAAAGACAAAAAAAAGGGCGGTTCAACTCAGCTTCTGGGTCTTCAGCTTGTGCCCTGCCGCCCGGGTGGCACCAGCCTGGTCCAGCAGCGGGCCCACCGCCACGAAGCGCGCGGCCTCCACGCGGTACTTCTCCCCGAGCTCGGAGGGCAGTGGGTCCTGGAGCTCCTCGCAGGTGGTGACCAACGTCACGGCGCTCATCGCGAAGACCCGGTTGAAGCCCATGGTCCGCAGGCTCTCCGTGACGTCCGCGTGGATGCCCCACCTCGCCTTCATCCTGGCAACACACTGCTGCACCGGCTGAAAGCCATTCAATGTGACCCTTGCGTCCTCCAATGAGGCTCCCATCATCCGCAGCAACCCCTCCATGGACGTCACCATGCTCCCTGGGCCGGCCGTGGTGAGCAAGCTCACCGACGGCAGCCCCAAGATCTGCGCCGCGTAGGCCGCCTCGCGGCTCACCAGCGGGCAGTACACCACCGCGTCCGCCCGGATCTTCTGCAACCAGCGCAGCAAACCGGGCAACTGCAGCTCCATCTGAATTGGCATCAGCTTCATCATCGCGTACAGCATCGGCTCCTCCTGCAGGCCGTGTTCCGTCTTCAGAGCCTCCAGGCACCCAAAGAAGTCCTGTTCACGGCCATCGTAGAGCTCCGTCTCCTCATCCACAGCTGAGGAAAAGCTGGCCCCACAGCCTTCGATGGCCTCACGCATGGGCTCCCTGCAGAGGTAGTGTACTTGGTGCCCTTCTTCTAGCAGCATTCGTGCCATGGGCAGGGATGGGTTCAAGTGACCGGAGGCCATGGGGAACACAAATGCAAAGGTGTATCGCTTGTCCGCCATGGCTTCTGAAGCCTTTGAGTTAGCCGTCGATGCGTGCTTGAGCCGAACCTTTCTAACATGAAAGCTACCCACCGGTGAGTCATGAACCTTCCCAGGGCAAAGGGAAGTACCAGCTCATATCAGAATAGCTCATGTCACAGCCCCGCCTCGCCGGCCTCAGTGATTGGCACATACCAGCGCAGCTGCTCCTAGTCAAATCCAAAAGCTTCCGGGCAGAAGGTTGGCGCAGTTGCTCACTTTGAACGCAAACCTGCAAGGTGACAGGCACTTCATGTCCCTTTTGCCCAAACCCGTGCCGCGCCTTGTTGGTGATGCAAATCACCGCCAGCGGAGGCTGCTCTGAAAGGTCCGCCAAGCGCTCCTGAGTGACTGGCCGGATACTGCTTTCGTTGGCTTTCTGGGACAAGAAACCACAATCGTTGATGCCTGGGCAATCCTTGCGGATTTCCGGTTGGCTAAGGCTTGGCGCAGTCCCTTCCGGGAAAGTTCCAATTGCTGCACCCTAAAAACCGCAGCATCCTGCTATCATTCTGGGGAGAAAGACACCGAAGCCCACTGCTGGCGTGCAATCGTCCAAGTTTGGCCTTCTGCAAACTTCCATCGTCCTCAAACACAGGAATCTGCAAAACTGACATCTTGCAACACCAAGAAGCCCTGCAAATCGAGCCGTGGTCAAAACGTGCTTGTAATCTAAATGTTCGATCACGGCACAGTCCTTGTGATCAACACAACGAGAAGCTGTGAAAGAAAAGCTAGCCTGCGGAAACCTTTGAAACCTGCGATGCGATGGACCCCCCCCTGCAGCGCGTCCTTGGCATCCTGGGAAACAAACTCGAGGTGATAAACCTCCCAGGGCAGAGACCCACACATGCTCATCAGGTGTGCTGCCGGTCATGGCGATCCAGCTTACATTCCAGGATTTCTTGGGTACTGCAAAATAGATTTCGCCTTTAACCGTCAGATATGCGCATGGTGAGTGCGACGATTCCTTGTTTGTTGTATCTGACCTGGGTTCAGCTTTTTGGTGGGCTCGAAGAAGATGTCCAATGCAGAGAGACATCTGCATGAAGTAAAAGTTTCACGAAAGAGATATCCTCACCTTGGGCCGCTTGTGGCCCAGCTTGACCCTATCCCCTATCCTTGGAGGGCGGGGGGGGGGGGGATTTGAGGTGCTGGTTTGCAAAAGATGGATTCGTGGTTTGCTCCGTTTTGACCAAGTGAAATCCGAAAGGTGGGTTCTCAAAACTAGGTGACCCTAGCCACCACCTGGATCTGCCACCACCTTGGATCTGCCTTCAAGACCAAACAGGAACCGCCAAAAAGGATGTCCCTCGGTTCTCCGACAAACACCAACCCCAAAACAGGTACGACCCATGTATGCCAATTCTTCCGGCAAAACCCAAGGGTGACTTCCGCCTCGCCGGCATCACTGGTGCGCAGGTCCAGCCCCTCCTTCTCCGCAGCATCCCTTGCGAGGACCGTTTCGGGTGCCGACATGAAAAAAACAACTGGATAAAGCTTCCCCCTATTTGGGGTTTTGGCTTTGTGGATTGGAGGTTGGGGGTGAAACCCACATTTACCCTCCAAAGGAGACCAGGCTTGTCGCCAATCCAAACCACCAATTCAAGTCAACCTGAACAAGCCGAACGTCTATTGCCCCCCTGCGCAATAGAAAAGCTTGAGGTTTGGTGGGCAAGGACACTTTGTTTTGCGAAAAGCTCAATATTCTAGGTCAAACTAAAGAGGAAGCAAGAAAGCAAGAAAATATCGAGCCTTCTCGGATGTTAAGAGACCACGAGCCCGGCCTTAGTTGTGTCCGTCGGGCGGATTCCCCTAGGATATGTGTCCAAGAAAATGAACCACACAACTCTTGGTGGTTCAAGGAAACTAGAAGGGGAAGACCTCGCCGGACACTTTTCGAAAGAACACATTTTCTGGATCGGAGGTAAGCAGACAGCAGGTTGGACAAATCCAGTGAGTTGGAACCCACAAGGCACCGTTCAGACTTGCAAATACAACACGGACTCCTCGGGAATCATTGTAAATGGGGTTCCCTGACACAGCATGTCATGCTCAAATCGTGGCGAATGATGAAAACTCACTGTTTCTCACCACTCACCTCTGAATTCCCAGTGCGGCGTTGCACCTGATTCCAAGCTCAGCTGCTCTTGCACCTGGCTGCTGTCTCCGCCATGTTTTGGATGACCCCAGGTCAAAACAGCCCCAGATTCAAGAATGGCAGCTTTTGCTGCACCAGCAGTTGCTTGGATTTGCCGGACGTTGCTTAGCTGCTGTTGCACCTGGCTGCTGTCCCCGCCTTCTTCTGGATTAGTCAGTTGCTTGCATGTGCTGAACGTTCCTCAGCTGCTCTTGCACCTGGCTGCTGTCTCCGCCCCAGCCTGGATCACCCCAGATCACAACAGCTCCAGATTCAAGAATGGCTGCAAAAGCACCACAAGCAGTTGCTTGGATGTGCAGAACGTTCGACAGCTGCTCTTGCACCTGGCTGCTGTCTCCGCCGGAGTCTGCGTTGCTTATTTAAACAAAAAAAATATTAAACTAATGCATTTATGAAAATAATGTTTCTATAAAATAAACATTACACAATTTATATAGTGTAAATAATTTAAATGTATAGCTATGTTTATATTTAGTATTTATTTTTGATAATAATATTTAGGTTTGCGTCCCTCCCCTTTGATTTTTAGGATATTTATTATTTTATAATTTAAAAATTCGTAATTAGTAATCGTCGAAATATAATACTTGATGTAGATTTAGATATATATATATATATATTAAGCCTTACTTAAGCAACTCTATAGAAGAAACATATCTATCAATAAATAACATATATTATTTAATATGGATGTATTCCCTAATTCTAAAGAATGGGTATCCCTTTTTTATGGTATATTAAGAAGAAAATAAATGCACAAAAAACAATATAATGTATATATATATATGTATAATTCAGTAAATAAGTCCTTTAAAAACTCTAAAACACAGTTTATAAAGTTTAATAATAATGATACACATATCTATTCATTCCATAATATAATATTATACATATTATATTCTGAGTATAAAATATTAATCTTAAATAAATCTCCGCCAAATTCAAAATATCAATAGGTTCTAAAAATATGATTTAGGTAATAGTATATCGAATATAAATATAATTATTCAATTATATTATCAATTATATATATATATATATATATAATAATAAAAACATATGTGAGAAATATATCGTGAGTTTCTAAATTATTTTGGACAGAATCGAACATCATATATTCATCGATAGAGATCTTCCTCCTGACAAAATGGCAAACCGGCAAACCGAGGCTCATTGAGGAAGGAGAGGATCAATCATGCTGCAGGAGTTGCCTTTCCCACGATTCGAAGGAGAGGAGGTCACCTCCAGCCACGAACTCAAACCCCAAACCAATGGGCCTGTGGCGCCCTCCATCTTGTCCATCTGGACTTGATTTACAATCGGGGGACCCCTAAGAAAACATCGGCCTGCGGTTGTCGGCCTCTCAGCTTTCTGAATTTTGGGACTTCTCGGCTCCTCAGCGAAAGGCCTGAAGGCCTCATAGTCCGCAGTTGCCGTCTTCAGGTACTGCCGTCGCTCCTCCTGCATGGGATGTTCAATGGAGTAGAGAGGGAGGGGCAAAAAAAGGGGCCGAGCAGCCCACAAAACTTACCCTCCCACCAATTAACATGGAACCTGACAGGGGGGCCCTTTAAGAAGAGAATGATCTTAGGACCCCCTGTCAGGTTCCATGTTAATTGGTTGCAGGGTAGATCAGTTGCCTGGTTAAACCGTTTCCCAAGCGGAACTTCTGCTTGCACGCAAGCGTGATGACCCAATGGTTGCCCAAGCGTTGGGTTTAGGGCACAAGGGGCAGGTCGCCGCAATGTGATCCGTCTTCTTCAGACGCCCCGCGGAAGGTTCGTATGGGGCGTCCACAATGGGCACTGCCAACCTGCAGATTCTATGTGGCTTTCAGGGGCGAGGCTTAATCTTTCGCATGTCATCGGAAGCTTCTCGGGCAAAGCGTTTCAGAATACCGGCCTGGCACAAATGCCTCTTGCAGAAACAGAGTGCATGCTGAATTGAAGCACACGGGACCGTACACTATGGTTCATTGTTTCTGCGTGCGTGCACGATGGCAACATGATAAGAAGACACGTTCCAGCATTCATGGTTGTTGCAATGAACTGGAAAAAACACCAAGGAAAACGCAGTTCTGACATGCAACTCGTGTCAATTCGAGAAGGGGGGTGGGACACAAATAAAAGCCATGCTGACTGGACGGTTTGTCATTGTTGTGTTCTTCTCTTTTTTACAAATGCTGTAGAACATTGGCCGGCTTACATCGAGGCGGGTTGGGAGCTGCCCCAGCACCCCCCCCCACCTCTGTCTTGAGCTCATTCCAGTCAGACCTTGGCCCAAAGCGGGTCGGCAACAGGGGATAGCTAGGTCGTGCTGTCAATGAGAAGTTATAAATCCCTGTTCAACGGGTATATGATCATCCCTAGCCCCGCACATCCAAACTTCAATCTGAGCCCCGCACATCCAAATGATGCACGGCCGGTAGCCCATGGTCTGGGCATGCCGAACCTTCTGCACCTCACGTCTTGGCACAAAAGCGACGCTGTCCTCTGGCAGGCCAGCACCCATCGGCAAAGGATCCATGAGACTCATCTGCTCCGTGCGAACGCAAAAGAAGCTTCGTCTTGGAGCGCGGCAGCACCTTTGAACATGTAGTGGAACCTTGGCATCTACGAAGTCACGGGCGCGGATTCGTGCAGGGGGGCTAAGGATGGATTGAATCTCAGAACCTGAGTGCAGGCTCCAAATGAACATCCAATGGCAGAGCAGACAAGAATGTAGGGGAGCCTAATGACGTTACCTGTTGCACAGAACAAAGCTCAAGTACAGCGACGCCAAATTTGGCGTCGGTTTGAAGGGAATCCCAACAAATGGCACAAAGAATTCCTGACACATCCCTCGTCTCAGGCAGCTGCTGCCGGCAGCGATTCTGCTTCTCCAGCTCCTGCGTGGATTTCGGGATCCCCAGTGTAAGCTTTTCCACAAAGGCAGGACTACGGGTGCGTCTTGGAGGGTACAGGTTTGGCGTGTTTGAAAGGGAAACCAAAAGGAAGCCACTCATTTTGGGGGATTCCTTTATTTTGAGAACATCAGCAATGTTCACCAATCCTCAGGACTATCTGACACAGTGTTTGATTGTGGTCATAATGTTCATTTCACATCTACGCAAGACCTCTCAAGGTTAATAAGCAGAAGTTCCCATTTGGTTTGAGATGAATGATCCATTCAAGAGGGCCCTTTCTGATACTGGCGATGTCGTTTGGCAAGTTGGAGAGGCGCTTCGGGCGCATAGACATTCATCCCACCCAGGTGACACTTCTGATGTCATCAGCACCAAGGTTTAACTTGTATGACCTTTCGCTGAGCCTGCAAAAAAAATTGGGGCAAACGGGAAGAACACAGTTGTCTACCCAGCAGTCCCACACAAAAGGTCGGGTGTTATCTGAGAACCTGAAACTGAGTAAAGCGTCAAAGTCGAAGACCTCATCATGGGCATGTGTTCCTGCTTTTGCCACCTGCAAAAGAAGCTCAAACCAAAAGCGCCGCCTATCCGGCGGTCGTTCTGGTCTTTGTGCCTGGTCAAGTACCAGGCGACTGCAGACCTAAAATAGATCCGCATAGTCAGCGGAAGGTGTGGAAGGGAAGTCTATTGCTTTCTTTGCGCATTGGCATGCCGTCCACCCTTTACAAAATCACGGAGCTTTCCGCAAAACTTGATTTTGCTGCCGATCGAATTCATGCACCGACCAGGCCAGCTGCCTGAACACAGGCCGGCTTCAGACCCGCAGCCGGCTGCGGTGCGCCCAGCAGCGCCGGCAGCCTCGCCTTCGCCTTCGCGTCATCCACAGCCTGGAGCGTGAGCTGCACGGCGCGCGGCACGCCCCCGGCCCGCAGCGCCTTGGCGAAGCAGCCGCTGCGCTCCGCGAAGGGCGGCTCCGCGGCCACGCGAAGCAGCGCCTGCCGCACGTCCGCACGGTAGCCGGCGATGGCGGCCGCTTCCTCAGCGTCGCCCTCCGGCGTGGGCCGCGGCACCTGCAAGCCGACTCCCAGCTCGACTGCCTTCTCGGCATTCACGGGCTGATCTCCAAAGCCTGGGCAAACCACCACGGGCACTCCTGCAAACAGGGACTCTGTGAAGCTGTTCTGGCCGCCGTGCGTGAGGAAGAGGTCGACCCCAGCCTGGAGAAGATCCACTTGGGGCACCGAAGCTCTGCACAGGGCGTTGGACGGCACATCCAGGCCCTCCAGGGCATCGGGCTGCGGGCCCACAGAAACCACGAGCAGAGCTTCCGAGTCCCCAAAGGCGTCAAAGACGCCACTCCAAGCTGCTTGGCAAAGCTGCTTGCCAGTGAGGCCCTTGCGCTGGCCGCTGTTGCTCTGGAGCTTAACATCCCAGCCGAAATCCAAGCTGTCGCCCGTGATCACGGTACCCATGCTTGCAAAGATCACCCGACGCCCTGCTGCCTTGGCAGCCTTCACCGACTCCAGCAATTCCGATGCCTCCGACTGTTGTTGGCTATCTGTGGACTTCCTCACTTGCCCAAAGAACCTAAAAAAAGTGGTTCACCGCTTGGGACCTCTATCAAAAATGGAAAAAAGAAGAACCACCAAAAAAAAAGCAAACGATTCGGAAGGTTCAACTATGCTTCTGGGTCTTCAGCTTGTGCCCTGCCGCCCGGGTGGCGCCAGCCTGGTCCAGCAGCGGGCCCACCGCCACGAAGCGCGCGGCCTCCGCGCGGTACTTCTCCGCGAGCTCGGAGGGCAGGGGGTCCTGGAGCTCCTCGCAGGTGGTGACCAACGTCACGTCGCTCATGGCGAAGACCCGGTTGAAGCCCATGGTCTGCAGGCTCTCCGTGACGTCCGCGTGGATGCCCCACCTCGCCTTCATCCTGGCAACACACTCCTGCACCGGCTGAAAGCCTTTCAGTGTGGCCCTTGCATCCTCCAATGAGGCTCCCATCATCCGCAGCAACCCCTCCATGGACGTCACCATGCTCCCTGGGCCAGCCGTGGTGAGCAAGCCCACCGACGGCAGCTCTAAAATCTGCGCCGCGTAGGCCGCCTCTCGGCTCGCCAGCGGGCAGTACACCACCGCCTCCGCCCGGATCTTCTGCAACCAGCGCAGCAAACCGGGAAGCTGCAGCTCCATCTGAATCGGCATCAGCTTCATCATCGCGTACAGCATCGGCTCCTCCTGCAGGCCGTGTTCCGTCTTCAGAGCCTCCAGGCACCCAAAGAAGTCCTGTTCACGGCCATCGTAGAGCTCCGTTTCCTCATCCACAGCTGAGGAAAAGCTGGCCCCACAGCCTTCGATGGCCTCACGCATGGGCTCCCTGCAGAGGTAGTGCACTTGGTGCCCTTCTTCTAGCAGCATTCGTGCCATGGGCAGGGATGGGTTCAAGTGACCGGAGGCCATGGGGAACACAAATGCAAAGGTGTACCGCTTGTCCGCCATGGCGTCTGAAGCCTTTGAGTCAGCCGTCGATGCGTGCTTGAGCCGAACCTTTCTAACATGAAAGCTACCCACCGGTGAGTCATGAACCTTCCCAGGGCAAAGGGAAGTACCAGCTCATATCAGAATAGCTCATGATCAGAATAGCTCATGTCACAGCCCCGCCTCGCCCGCCTCAGTGATTGGCACATACCAGCGCAGCTGCTCCTAGTCAAATCCAACAGCTTCCGGGCAGAAGGTTGGCGCAGTTGCTCACTTTGAACGCAAACCTGCAAGGTGACAGGCACTTCATGTCCCTTTTGCGCAAACCCGTGCCGCGCCTTGTTGGTAATGCAAATCACGGCCAGCGGAGGCTGCTCTGAAAGGTTCGCCAAGCGCTCCTGAGTGACTGGCCAGATACTGCTTTCGTTGGCTTTCTGGGACAAGAAACCACAATCGTTGATGCCGTGGAGATCCTTGCGGATTTCCGGTTGGCTACGGCTTGGCGCAGTCCCTTCCGGGAAAGTTCCAATTGCTGCACCCTAAAAACCGCAGCATCCTGCTATCATTCTGGGGAGAAAGACACCGAAGCCCACTGCTGGCGTGCAATCGTCCAAGTTTGGCCTTCTGCAAACTTCCATCGTCCTCAAACACAGGAATCTGCAAACCTGATATCTTGCAACACCAAGAAACTCTGTCGAGCCGTGGTCAAAACGTGCTTGTAATCTAAATGTTCGATCACGGCACAGTCCTTGTGATCAACACAACGAGAAGCTGTGAAAGAAAGCTCGCCTGCGGAAACCTTTAAAACCTGCGATGCGATGGACCCCCCCTGGCAGCACGTCCTTGGCATCCCGGGAAACAAACTCGAGGTGATAAACCTGCCAGGGCAGAGACCCCACACATGCTCATCAGGTGTGCTGCCGGTCATGGCGATCCACCCTTACATTCCAGGATTTCTTAGGTGCTGCAAAATAGATTTCGCCTGGAACCGTCAGATATGCGAATGGTGAGTGCGACGATTCCTTGTTTGTTGTATCTGACCTGGGTCCGGCTTTGTGGTGGGCTCGAAAACGATGTCCAATGCAGAGAGTCATCTGCATGAAGTAAAAGTTTCACGAAAGAGATATCCTCACCTTGGGCCGCTTGGCCCAGCTTCACCCTATCCCCTATCCTTTTCGGGCGGACCGCCAAAAAGGATGTCCCTCGGTTCTCCGACAAACACCAACCCCAAAACAGGTACGACCCATGTATGCCAATTCTTCCGGCAAAACCCAAGGGTGACTTCCGCCTCGCCGGCATCACTGGTGCGCAGGTCCAGCCCCTCCTTCTCCGCAGCATCCCTTGCGAGGACCGTTTCGGGTGCCGACATGAAAAAACAAACTGGATAAAGCTTCCCCCTATTTGGGGTTTTGGCTTTGTGGATTGGAGGTTGGGGTGAAACCCACATTTACCCTCCAAAGGAGACCAGGCTTGTCGCCAATCCAAACCACCAATCCAAACCACCAATTCAAGTCAACCTGAACAGACCGAACGTCTATTGCCCCCTGCGCAACAGAAAAGCTTGAGGTTTGGTGGGTAAGGACACTTTGTTGTCCGAAAAGTTCAATATTCTAGGTCAAACTAAAAAGGAAGCAAGGAAGCAAGAAAATGTCGAGCCTTCTCGGATGTTTAGAGACCACGAGCCCGGCCTTAATTGTGTCCGTCGGGCGGATTCCCCTAGGATATGTGTCCAAAAAAAATGAACCACACAACTCTTGGCGGTTCAAGGAAACTAGAAGGGGAAGACCTCGCCGGACACGTTTCGAAAGGACACATTTTCTGGATCGGAGGTAAGCAGACAGCGAGTTGGACAAATCCAGTGAGTTGGAACCCACAAGGCACCGTTCAGACTTGCAAATACAACACGGACTCCTCGGGAATCATTGTAAATGGGGTTCCCTGACACAGCATGTCATGCTCAAATCGTGGCGAATGATGAAAATTCACTGTTTCTCACCACTCACCTCTAAATTCCCAGTGCGGCGTTGCACCCGATTCCAAGCTCAGCTGCTCTTGCACCTGGCTGCTGTCTCCGCCATGTTTTGGATGACCCCAGGTCAAAACAGCCCCAGATTCAAGAATGGCAGCAAAAGCACCACCAGCAGTTGCTTGGATTTGCCGGACGTTGCTTAGCTGCTGTTGCACCTGGCTGCTGTCCCCGCCTTCTTCTGGATTACCCCAGGTCACAACAGCACCAGTTTCAAGAATGGCAGCAAAAGCACTTTCAGTTGCTTGCATGTGCTGAACGTTCCTCAGCTGCTGTTGCACCTGAGTGCTGTCCCCACCAGATTCCGGATCACCCCAGGTCACAACAGCTCCAGATTCAAGAATGGCTGCACAGGCACCACAAGCAGTTGCTTGGATGTGCTGAACGTTCGACAGCTGCTCTTGCACCTGGCTGCTGTCTCCGCCCCAGCCTGGATCACCCCAGGTCACAACAGCTCCAGATTCAAGAATGGCTGCAAAAGCTTTGGCAGTTGCTTGGATGTACTGAACATTCCTCAGCTGCTCTTGCACCTGGCTGCTGTCTCCGCCGAGTTCCGGATGCCCCCAGGTCACGACTGCCCCAGATTCAAGAATAGCAGCAAAAGCAAACTTGGTTGCTTGGATGTGCCGGACGTTCCTCAGCTGCTCTTGCACCTGGCCGCTCTCTCCGCCCCAGTCTGGATGACCCCAGGTCACGACTGCCCCAGATTCAAGAATGGCTGCGAAAGCACAGTAGGTTGCTTGGATGTGCCGGACGTTGCTGAGCTGCTCTTGCACCTGAGTGCTGTCTCCGCCCCAGTCTGGATGACCCCAGGTCACGACTGCCCCAGATTCAAGAATGGCTGCCAAAGCACAGTAGGTTGCTTGGATGTGCCGGACGTTCCTGAGCTGCTCTTGCACCTGAGTGCTGTCCCCACCAGATTCCGGATCACCCCAGGTCACAACAGCCCCAGATTCCAGAATGGCTGCAAAAGCGCTCATAGTCGCTTGGATGTGCTGAACGTTCCTCAGCTGCTCTTGCACCTGGCTGCTGTCTCCGCCCGTGTCTGCATGACCCCAGCTCACAACCGCTCCAGATTCAAGAATGGCAGCAAAAGCACAGCTAGTTGCTTGAATATTCTGAACGTTCGACAGCTGCTCTTGCACCTGGCTGCTGTCCCCACCACTTTCTGGATCACCCCAAGTCACAACCTCGCCCCCGTGGGCATGCCAGGCCAGTACCTGTTCAGTGGCAGCCAGTTTGCCAAGCTGCACAACTGCAGCCACCACGTCTCCATCTCGCAATCCAGCCTCGCTCAGCGTGGCCGTCAAATCAAGTTGACGGCCTTTGGCAGTGAGCTTCAAACGGCGCTGGAAATGCTGCTGCGCTGCTGCCTTCAGCTGGCTGATGGGGGTAGCCGGTGAGACTTCTACGGAGAACCCATCTCCGCTGGGCAAGTGAACAGCCACCTTCATGGCGAGGGAAGAGTCCTTCACGGGCTTGCAAGTTGCCAAACACAAACCTGAAACAAATTGAGGGGAGGGAACAACTTGCTGAATGGCTTCTCAACCTCACTCGATTCGTGGGCAAAGACAACGGTGCCAACCCATTTGCAGCGAAGCTTTAAGAAAGGCGGATCCTTTCCTTTTGAGCCATACCCAAACCCCACATCCAGAAGCATACACCCCATTCGGATCTACGGCCTATCCGATGGTAGCTAATCACACGCACAACGGGTGCATACCGGGGGGGTGCCTATCCAGGTGCCATCTTTGACCCGCAAAGCGTGGTGCCCTTGGCCCACACGTACCATTGGCCATCCTGCGGGCCACCTTTGCTTTGACTGGCTTGTCATGTTTTTTCCAAAAGTCACCCACGAGATGGGTTAAAGGGAAACAACCGATTCCATGGTCTGACTTTGACTCCCCTAGAAACAACCAAAACCAATGAGCCCGGGTTGGATCTTCATCAATGGGGTCCCTGGCTTCCGGGGTTATCAGATCCCTGGCTTCCTGCGCCTCAACGTCATGAATGCATCGCTCTGCCGGAACCTAGCACTCGACAAAAGCTGGGAGGAAAATCGGAAAAGGTGATTAGCGAATAGTCCATGGTTCATGTGGGCGCACTGGGCAACCAATTTCCCCCACACAGGGGGCCAGACCATTCGTATGGACGATTGGTTGATGTTTCTCTGTCTGTTGCGCGAGGATGCAAATGCTGACTTGCTTCCTACATGCAGACAAGCTGGTCAAACACCCTCCCCCAACGTCTCTGTGGAGCTTCATGAACAACAGGCGACACAATGCGACTCACCCCACGGGAACACCAAATCACCAACGATGAACGTCCTTCTGCTCTCTGGTAGCAAAGTCGTGGCATTCCTGTGACTCTGAACACGGCCAGTGAGCCAGACTGTCTGTCTCAGGTTTAACAGCAAGGCCCCAAGCCCGACTGGCAAAACACGGGGACACCGGAAACTGAGCACCGAGCATTGACCGGTAGAAGTCCTGTTTCTGGTACCACTTCTGCGAGGTGTGCACCTTCGTTCCGCCCAGTCCGCCAGAGTCCAAGTGGGATGGTCATGGGATCTCTCCAGAAAGGGGTCAAGCGCTTAAACAAGATTCGCACTTCAGGGAGCCGCAGCATCGGCCGGAGTCAGGACTGAGGCATCGGCCTGGAAGAAGAGCTTCATGCCTCGCAAACGCGAGGCATTTTTATTCTGCTGACCAGACTTAGACCTGCAACAAAGTTGGGAAACCAAAAATCAAAATGTTAAGGTCAGGTAACACTGGTAATGCAAGCGCGTGTTTTGGGGGTATGCCAAGATAACCAATCTTGCTGTTTCCCTGTGCTGTGTCAACAGTTTGACATCCGTTTGATCAGGCGGCATGAGTTTTTGACTAGGGACCCTGTAATGGACATCATTCAGGTAAAAAATCATGTCCACCAACCACTTGTGAAGTGGTCCCCCCTCAAATTCATAGCCAACCGATCTGCTTTGCACTTCCGTTCGCTCTGAGGCTCACGCTGTCGTCCTCAGTGAACCAATGCTTGAGAGCAGCGGGGCCGTCAAAGACTGCGCAAAGGTGGATGTTGAACCTCGGATCCGGAGATAGCAGCCACAAATGGGTGGTGTCCTTTGGAGTCGATACCCTTCGGGGTGGTGAAGGAAAGCTCAAAGGAAACAACCCCGATTTTAAGACACCAAATGCGATCCATGGGAACCTTCTGTCAGAGCACTTCAGAAAATGGTTGGTTTGGCTGTGTCATTCAGCTTAGCCCATCCAAAAGGCAACCGTGTCGTGTGAGCGACCAAAGCCCGTTGACTTTTGGTAAGGTAGCACCATGGAGGTTTCTACAGGCCATACTACCCCCAAAAAACAAGTAGGCACCGAAGCACCTGCTAAAATGGCCAAGTTTGTTTGCAAACTCCTTGGGCCCCCAGTCGCGTTCACCAGCTCCTCATTGCTCAGGGAGGTGAGGTCCGACTCGCGCTGCCTCGAAGACTGTGAATCGAAGGGCTCGTGCTGGACGGGTTCTTCTGAGTGGGTATTCAGATGGGTGGTCAAAAATAGGGTAACCCCAAAATGGAACCCATTTTGGGTAAATGTAAACAATGACTACAACCTGCGGTCCAATTCCTGGTGGGTTAATTTTGACCCATACCCAGAACCCACCTGATTCATGTGGGATGTGGCTGTTTGGAGCGGAGAAAGTGGGGAACAAGGGGGGGGGAATCGGAAGTGGGACTCCGGTTGAAAGGACAACGTCACCATCTCCATCCGGCGATCGCGTCGCAAGAACCCAACTATGGCAACTGGGCAAAAGGTGTGCCGTGCTTGCATGGTTTCTTTCCATTGGAGCCGCAAACATGGATGCTCGAAATCCCTCAGCTTCCTGCCTCCCGCTGACCCCAAGCGACTGAGTGACCAAGTGCCAAACAAAACCGGGGGACCCCTACCAAAAATGGATCTCGACGCCATTGTCCTGTCCTTGTGAAAGCACGCCGCTTCTTGTGAAACCCGGGAGAAAAAATCGCCACACTGAGCTCTCCGGCCCAGAGCACACCCGGGCACAGCTCTCCTGGCGGCTTGATGCCGGGCTTGGTGGTCGATGAAACGAATGGCTTGCCATGACCCCAGAACATCCCCTTGCCATCGCTTCTTCTTGGTATGATGTGTTTTTCTGTGGGGGGGGGGCTTTCTTGGTGGACATCATGTTGGGAAGGATTCAACCACTTTGCAGGTGGTGCCCTGTTAAAATTTGTAGGCTTTTGGGTTTCGCATAAAACCCCAGGAGTGTATCCTCAAACCCTGAAAAACACACCTGGTGGACACGAGTGCCGTCACGTGGCGAGTGTTGGGGGGTCCCAGTCTGCTTGACACCTAAGTGCGTGTTGGGTGCTGTGGCTCAAAAGCCAGATGGTCCTCAATTTGCAGTTGGGAAGAGAATCTTGCTAAAGCCAGCCCAAGGGCCCTCAATTTTCAGCCAGTCTGGGCTAGGCTTTGCTTGCAGCCCCGCAAAAAAAGCATTAAGGAATGCACCAAGCAAGGCCTCATGTTCATTTACTCCATGCGAACGCGCGTCATCTGAGGGGAATCGCCATCTTGAAATAATTTTCCCATTCGAAGCTGTGAGCGGAACTCTCTGAATGATCGCCACTGCTGAAGCCCACTTGATCTTTCTGCGCGCGCGCGTGGTTGGATGTGGCGTCGAGCATTGAAGCATAGCTTCGTGGTCAAGGCAGGAGATCGGAGCTTCAGAGAGCCAGGTGCGCGAGCGCAGGCAGAACACGCAGCTGAACGCGCTACTTTGGTCTTCAGATGTCTGGCAGTGTGGAGACTCGGTCGGAGCGAGTCTAAGAGACTACCACGTTGGAATGGTCAGACGTGTGTTGGTTGGGCACTTGGAACCCGAAGTAGCATTCAAGCCACCCCCGCCAAACTTGTTAATTGCACCAAACCGCTGGTGCAACGGAAGCCGTGCTCCGATGAAGGTGCAAAGGAGAGTTGCTGAATTGTGCATCTGCAAACATGAAATGGGCGAGCAGCACAATTACATCTCTCAATCGGTAAGATAGACTCTGGTAGCTAGATGAAGTAATCGTCATACAGTGCCCAAATAAACCTCCTCTTTCAGAAACATTGCCAAGAGTGATCACACCATATTGGGACAGCAGGATTTTAGCATGAATAGCAGAGGCATGCAGGGGGCCTAAGGCACGTCGGCAGCTTGCCTGGAGCCGGGCCTAAACAACATCCTTATCTGCACTCCCCAGATGTGTCTTTTCGCGCGGCGGCCTGCTTGTCCCATTTATGGCTATGATTAGAGACTTTCTGGACATCAAAATTTGGTGGGGTAACTAAGTTTAATGTCCACCAAATGAATCCACCAAAATTGGGATTACCCCTCATGTCCGCCTCTTTTGAGGGGTACCTCGAAAGATGTCAATTGCTACAGACAAGCAGAGCCGCACCTTGAACTCCGGAGGGAAATGCGAGAAGCGCGCCAGCACCGACAGTAGCTTCAGGGACTGCCTGGACGGCAGTGGCGCTCGTGGCAAAACCCATCTCAAAAATGGGTCCCAGTGTGGACACGTTAGCATTTAGGATTGATGGCCCACCCACTTTTGCGGGGGGGAGGGGGTCCCAACGAACAACTCACAGCATAGAAGCACGGGAGTCCACACAGGCAGAGAGGTTCAGAAGACAAAGCTGGCGAGACCCAGCCCCAGGAATCTTCCTATCCCAACTTCTGCCACAAGACAAACCGACCGAATGGCTTATGTTGCTGCGGCGACTGCGCAACCGGGGCCTAGCTGTAGCATTTGGGTTGCTGAGGTTCTCCGTCAGGACGCCTCTCAGCGGCACTTCCGCATCACATCTATGCTGGGTTGCCTGCCTGCACAGCTCACAAGCACCACGTGGCTACAGGGTTCAAGCTCCAAAGCTTAGGCAAGAAGCTGCCTGGACCAAAGTCATGGAAAGTTTCAGCTGTGTGTGTGTGTGTGTGAGAGCGCCGTGCCGCTTTGGCGCTCAATATTTTCTATGTATATATATATATATGTTATATACACATACAATTACATACATGGCATGTATGTATGTATATATGTTTGACACACATATACATATATATATATATATGTCAGCCACTTTGGCCCCAATAAAATCCAATAAACCTCGCAGCCGTGGCCAAAACTCCGTGCCAGCCTTGAAGCTCCATCGACTGGAAAGACAGGTCCATAAGCTGCTCGGCCTCGAGCGCGGAATGGCGCAAGGTCCCTTGCGGTGCGTGGAACCTTGCGGTGCGCGGCTCCAGGGTCCAAGCGGGACTTCCAACCCTCCGCTGTCGGAGCCCGAAAGCCTCCTTTGAACCCTCCCTGAAAGCTGGCCCTGAGAGACCCCATAGCTTTCAGCTGGGGGAAAACAAACGATCCAAATGAGCTAAACCGGGTATCACTCGGGGTGCCAGGCCAGCTCCAGCAACTCTTCGAGCTTCTCAGACTCCACGGGCTGGTTCCTAAGCCAACCACTTTGCCATGCGCCTGTTGCCGGTGACATCTGGCTCCAACATGGCAAAGGTTTACATATCATATAAGTTACATATAGAGCTTTATAACCATATTTACTACCTTGTAGCTGTACTAATCATTAGTATCACTACAAGGTGCTACAAATGGTTATAAAGCTTTGTATGTCACTGCAAGCCCCGTGAAACTAGGTAGAACCGCCTCAAATGTTTTGAGGAAATGGTTGCCCTTACCTAGGGTGGGCCCATGTTGTCCTCAATGAACTTAGGACTATTGCCCGCAGATGGTACGCTTCACGCGAGCCGTTCCCATGGCAACTCTTGCCTCCAATGTTCAGACATAGAATCGCCTAAGGCTGGAGCAAAGGAAGGCACCGGTGCCCCTTTTGTAACCAGGGGCTCCACTCGGTCGGGTCCTAAAATAGTGATTGAAGGAGCTCACCTGCAGCTTGACAGTTTCAAGCCCAACCATCTCCCGCCAACTAGCCGGAACCTGACTGTTAAAGGGACCAGGACCTGACGTCAGGTTATATGGGTGTGGCTCAAAATTCAAGAGCTGGGGCTACGCAGGTTTTAGTTCCATGTACCAAGGGGGCCATTTTGGTACGTCTATTTGAGCCACAGCCATATGTTAGTTGGTGGGAAATCTCCAATGAGCTGTGCTCCGACACATTGACCCCAGAGCTGCCCGCTGCTCGAATCGAGGCCCCCTCCACAAGTAGGCATAGCACCAGCAGTACCAGGTCACCACCTTCCAAACGGAGAGGAGGCGAAGAAAGTCAAGCTACAAGGGGGGGGGGGGGGTTGAGTTGGTACCCTCTTTTGGAGGGAAAACCACTATTTTAGGGGTCTCCCAATTGTGACAAACACACACACACACAGACACACGCACCCATATCATGTTGGATCCCATAACAAACATAATTCCCGCGGCTCAGTATCCCTACGAAGCACTTGCCTCCAAAAAATGAGCTGCTTCTTTTCTATGTGAAACTGAGAAAAACCCACTAGTTGGATGTGCCCACATTTTGGGGAACACCAATGTCCTCTCCCGTGCCTCTTGTTTCATGAACCGATGACATTGTGTTGCCAAGTGCAAATTAAGTATTAAGCACGTGAGTGTGTCGAAAAAATTACTGCAAACCACCAGAAAACGCCAGCTCCCTATTTCAGAAGCAGCTGACACCAACACGGGCCGTTGGTCCAACCTCGGACAGGGTTCCGATACTTTCTCCCAAACCTCGCCTTACCAAAAGGAAACTCACTTGACATGGCCCCAGAGGGTGATTGAACCTAACCCCACCAAAAGACAAAACTCACAAAAAGGAAACTCACCCTCTTTGAACCATCCCCCAAAACAGAAGCATGAGAACCTCCGGATGAGCGCCCTGTTTTCGTCTCGCAGCACTTGACTCCATTTTGCAAGCGCATCCTCACTGAGCGGGGACGCCGGCCTCGTGGGAATCGAATTCATCAGCCAAATCAACTGGGTGGGCAAAAAGGCATCCCAAACTAGCAATGCGAACCCTGGATTCATGAACCCTGGTTGATTGATGGGGGGGGTCTTTAGTGGGGGGTCATCACTTTTGGAGGGGGACCACCCCCTATCAAAAGGAAGATTTCTTAATTCGAAGGCAACACTCTTGCAGAAACAGGTCGTCAGATTCGAAACTTCGGAACCTGCCCCAAAAACCCTCCAACCAGCCCCATGTAAAACATGGATTGACTCAAAACAGAACCGGTATGGCAGAAACAACATGCCAAAGCTTACCTTTTGGTCGGAATTTTAATAGGGCACCCTTTGATCATCTAGGTGGGGATTCATGTCTGCCAACCACTTGTGAGGTGTTTCCCTATTAAACCTCTTCCTTTCAAACATGTTGATCAAAACCCAGTTTCTGATGGTGTGATCTTGGCGTAAGTGGATACAACGCTGAGGCGTGGCGTCACACAAGCGGATCCAGATTCTGAGACTTCTCATATCGGCAGGATATCTGGTCTATGAATCATGGCCTTGGTTGATATGCCATTTGCGAGGCAAGCTGCTGATATCCTATGGCTCGCGGGCCACCTAGCTCGCACGGAGTCTATGCCGCGCTCGCACCCCGACGACCATGGCCACAGCCCATGTAATGGCAACCCCGAATTAGTAGGCTCCTGCTAATAGGGGGTGCCACCAATAAAGTGATCCCGATTCCCACTAAAATAGGAAGACCCCCCGAATCTCAACCAAGGGTTTATTCGTCTGGGAATCCCATGTAGGCAGTCCGCCCCCAGGCCTCTCCATTTTGGCCCGCCCATTTTCGGCCTGCAGAAAAACGCACGTACCGAAAGTTGCCTGCAGTCAAAGCATCCAGCATGCAAACGTCGTACGAAACATCAAAGGGGGCAATGGCAAAGGCAGCAGCAACAACCACCACCAGCACCAGCACCAGCACCAGCACCAGCACCAGCACCAGCCCCAGCCCCAGCCCCTGCACCACAACAATAAACAACAAACAAAACGCAACAAGCAACAAACAACAAAAAAACACAACCACGCAACAAAAACAACAACTGCAACAGCCACAGCCACAGCAACATCCACAGCAACAACAGCAACAACAGCAACACATCAAAAAATCAACAGCAGCAACAATGCAACGGCGACAACGACAACCAAGACCACGACAACGACAACAAAGTGTCTGTCTCGTTTGCCGACAACCCACCGCATGGGCGCCGGCAAGGTCTGCTTTTTAGTTGGATTTATTTTATTATTTTGGATGTGTTTGGAGATGAAAGTAAATGAGATGAGATGGCATCATATTGTATCTCTTCATCTCTTAATTTGGAAAAGATGCCATCATTTTGTAGTTCTTGTGTCATCTTTATAATAATTCATGTTGGTCTTTTATTTGTGTTTCTGGAGCTATTTTATTATGAACGAAGATATCATGAAAGAAATAACAATATGAAACCAAAAAGACAAATATTTTGCATAAAAGCTATTATTATCTTATCTTTCTGTGTCTATCATTAAATCCTCAAAGAAGCATTTTACAGCTATTGGTCATCTCTTTTACATTTCTTTTCCTTTTCTATCTTGTTTGGATTATGAGATGCTTTTATTAGAGTTTATTATTTACTGTTCTTCAATTAAAATCTTCTAATAAAGACAAAGATAAGAAAGCATTAGAACAAAGACTATTTCATCTCCAAATTCTCTGTGTCATTCATTTCCCATTATCTCTTTCCTCTCTTTATTCTTTCTCTGTTGGGTCTCATTTGTAGATGAAAGAAATATAGCTTTTAGACCCAACAGTCATTCCTTTCCTAACATCTCCATCTCTTACCCCGTCCTTTCTCTTATCCCTCTATCCTCAGCCACCGCTTCAGGTCGTGGGACGAAGGACGAGGTAATCATGACCCGGCTCTTGGAAATGCCGGAGGAGTCACTTTATTCTCATCTCTATCTCCCATCCTCACCAACCGACAGGGAAAGGGTGGTGAGAGGCATGGGAGATGAAAGAGATGTCACCCGCTGGCCAGTGGATGAGGCCAGCCATCTCTTTGCCATATCTTTCTCTTCTCCATTCCCATCCCTCTCTCCTATCTTTGATGGAGAGGTGTCTCCGTGAAGCAACAGCACAAGGTTGCAATCGACGCTGAATACAGAGATGGGAGTTCTCTGAAATGGGGACTCTGCAAATGCCTAATTCCTTCCTTGTTGGCTTTCCTTGACCGCAAACTTCACCACACACCCAATGATAAACTGGCAGGCCTGCTCTCCTGTTCATGATCTTTGTCCGAGTTGTCTCGAAGATCCTTTCCATGAAGGCCCTCCCTTGCTTCCCCTACGCAGCCTCTCTTGGCGCCCACCTCTTCACTCGGCTTACTGGCTCCTTGATGTTGCACGACTCGTCTTCTCTCCTTTTGGGTATGCAGACCTGGATGTGGGTCAAAAATAGGTACCCAGAATGAAATCCTGGTGGAGAATCGGCTAAAACCTGCGGTCCCCCGGTGGTTTAGCTTTGACCCATACCCACCTCGGCACGCCAAACGCGCCACCCGACCAGGTCCGCCGACCTCCCAGCGCGCCTTGGCCCGGCGCGCCGCCAGCAGCTGCTCTTCCAGCTGCCGCGTCTGCGCCTCCGCGTCCTCGGCGAAGCTCGAAAGCAATGGGCCCGCCGAAAACTTGGGGACACCACATAGGAAAACAAAAAAAGAGAGCGCCTCTTGTTCAGAATTGTTTATATATATATATATATATACATATATTTATGTTTGTATATATGTATATATATATATATTATCTATATGTATCTATATATATATATATACTGTATATGTATATATATATATATATATATGTATGTGCTATGAATCTTGGAGGAGACCTCCGCTCAACTCCGGGTCAGTGAGGATCTACAAGCCCGTTAACCCCTCTCTGAGATGCATCTACTCACGGCCAAAAGCCAAACATGAATTCCTACGGTTTTACAGCTCAACGCTTTGAATCCCCAAATGCCTAAAATCCAGCTGATGTTTAAACTGGCGCTCAAAGTGGAAAGGAAGATCCCTTTCCCATAAACGCCAATTCCCATATGATTGGTGTGTTCTCAAACTCCTCTTGCAGTCGGAGATGTTCAAACTGGCGCTCTACATGGAGGGGTCAATCCCAACACCAAACCAAATCCTTCAAGTATATGTTTAACGTGCTTTCGTAGTTGCTCGGATTACGCGGCAATGATTGGTCAGGGTGGGTATGAATTTCAATAGGGCACCACCTCCAAAGTGGTTGGTGGATATGATTCCCCACCTAGTGATGCTTATCAAAGGGTCCCCTATCACACGCGAGTCATTCCGTCATGTCTCAACAATGCGGCAGGCGCCCGTGGCGGAACAGCCTTCGGTACCCGGACATATCTGTTTGCGTATCATTATGGTGCTTTGCACAAGAGAGTATCCCTTGCTTGAGAAGCCATGCAAAAACAGTACCATATACATAATAGTATGGTTATGTTACAGACATGGGTGCCTTTTTTAGTTTGTGTTGTTTGCAAGGGAAACCAAAGACAAAACATAACTTGTTGGGTCCCCTACCTATTTTAAGACACACCCACATGGTCCTGTGTGCTGTGTTGCTGTCACCTTCCCACCAGCCCACCCCTGGCAACCCAACCCGATCCAACCCAAACCCTAAACCAGCCCTAAAACCTACCCGATTCTGGCCAACTATAAACAAACCTGATCCGACCCGAAACCCTAAACTGCCTAACCCTCACCTCAACCCGGGTTGTACAGGACTCGTGACCACCTGACTTGTATGTATGACCCATAGCAGTATATCATATATGCACCCTGGACCCTCCGAGAAAGTGCGCGAAGGCATTCACCCACCCACCCTTCTTTCAAGCGCTCTTTTGGGGCAACTCTTAGGTCACCTCGCTTCGTCGGAATTCCCAAAACCGCGGGGTCATCCACCCTCGAGACCGCGAAACGAGGCCTTCAGCTGCGAGTGCAGGTCCCGTGGCTCGCGCCTGGCGAGTCGGGTGGACCGTTTACCCCCAAAGTGCGGGTTAGTGTGAACCCCGGATCCCCCTTTCTAATGGGACGGGTTTATTAATCCTGGGTCAACATTAAACCCAAAGTGCGGTATGTCTGACACGAAAAAACAAACGGGGCAGGGGTAGGTTCCACATATTTCCCCCCAAATCCGCACATTCGCTGGACCTCGGCCTTCAAAGGAAATGCAGGAACCCGTGACGC